TGCCCTGTCCCTAATTTCGTCAGCAAGCCATTTTTGGTCCCTAATTATGACACACATAGAAAATTCAAGCAAAATCTTATCTTTCGAAGAAAACAAGTTTTTTAGGCTTTTTCATCGGGAAATGAGCAAAGGTCACCTGAGCAATTTTGTAGAGCGTATCAAGATCTACCATAATCTAAAGGTACATGACAAACGAACGTGTCTAGAATGGGTTCAATAACTTGCGAGGAAGATGTCTAAAATTGACAAAAAAAAAGTGTCCCTAATTTCGTCAGCCAGCCATTTTTGGTCCCTAATTTCGTCACCAAGCCATTTTTGGTCCCTAATTTCGTCATCGAGGCATTTTGGTCCCTAATTTCGTCATCAAGGCATTTTTGGTCCCTAATTTCGTCACCGCATCATTACACAGCTAATATACAATTTCTTAATGTAATTTATCGAGAATTAAAATGTGAAACATAAAACATCTATTGTAATGCTTGCTACTAATGTTTATCATGATCTGTGAGAAGGGAAGTGTACGTCATATTTTTACTCGTAAATACTTCAACATTTTTCTTAGTTTATGTTTTATAAAACTATAGTGAATAATAGTAATATTAAGTATAATGACATATGTATAGGAAAAGGGTTATGAGTGAAATTGTATTAGATCTACTTTTTTGAAGAACGTGGTGCTGTTGTATTTTTGAGTACTTTTTTTTGGCTTCAGCCTTTTCCTTCAATTCTTGAAGAAGATTACCACTCGTAATGTCTTCTCCAAAACGACGTTCAAAACGAACACGAGATTTTTTGGTGGTGGTGGAGTAGTAACTGGTTGATCTCGTATATAAGTTGAAATAATTGATCGAACAGCTGATGATGGACTTGTTTTACCTGTTGTTACTGTTGATGTACTAGTAGGAAGTGAAAAATTTTGACTAGACGGTGAATCGACATCATCATCCGAATCTAAAATGCACGCATGAGAAAGATGATTAGAACATATTAATATAGTTTTAACCTTCATCAGATAAATCATAAACAGTTAATTTATCATTATTTGGTTGTTCAATATCGATGGATTCATCTGAATCACTAGAAGAGACAATGAGTCGTAGGAGTGAGAAACTAATCGATGTTAAATCATTCCATACCTGTCGTCAAAAGTACGTTTAGCTCGAGATAATGCCGATGATGATGACGATGCAGAACTGCAAATGAAAATGAAAATTTTTATAACAGCTATGAAATATATTATAGTGAAATAGTCGTTCTGAGAGCGTAGACTGGTATTCTGAATAGCCATTAGAAGAAAAAAGAGAAAATTCAGTAAGAAAGAAAGTTTATTAGATATATGATAGGGAAATATTTCCAACGTGACTTTGCATAAGTGTACAACTTTGAAAGATTGACAGACACAGCTACATCTGATTAAAATGTAGTCGTAAATAGAATATGATAAATCGAATAAATTAGATTCAGTATAAAAGACAATTTAAAGTCAAGACTGTTCTTAAAAATATTATGCATAACTAGTATGCGTTTAGATAGAACGATATCATGTTGCTATTAAACTAGCGATATGCACGCTCAGCTCTCAGAAAAATTGAAGTGACATATTCATACTCACTGATTATCAATTGAAGCTGGAGTAGATCCATTATCATCATCACCTGCAACTACACCATATGTTTGTACGTCGTTCATTAATGATGATAATATCTGTATTGTCGATAAACTAAAACCATATGAATGTTGAGAAATAAAGAACACTATTATATCTTACTTAGTCGTGAAGGAATTACCATATGATGATGAACGTGAACGAACAACCTTATCCTTCATTGCCTGATCATTGAAAGGACAGACACCTGCACGTTTAAACCCCCCCCAGAAACTGCACCAATCGAGAATGACTTTGAAAGAAGTTCCTTTAATAATTTAGGAAAATCAATCTTTCTGATAGTTTTACGATGAGTTTTTTGAAAGTATGATGAGACAATACTTCGCCATTTGATTTTTGCAGGACTAAAAATGTATATATTTAATTTTACTCCAAGAAAATTGTATAACTAGAATCAGCGATTCCACGATTTATATTTTTCCTGAAGTTTATCATGCATTTTTTAAATATCTATACACTTTCATAGATAATTATATCACTTTGACCTTACTCAGCCTTCTATGATTTTTAAATACGATTGGTTTATCATGTATTTTTGAAGAACTTATCTTTTTTTTCTGATCTTAAAGGACTATCTCTTTCCTACTGCACATATGTGAAGCTATCACCTCGCTATTATTTTATTCGCAGTCACTAACTTACTGGAAAGACACAAAACATATAGCGTATATTAAAACTAGGCTTAGTTTTTGGAACACATTATCCAATTACTGAAAGTTTGTTCTCTAGGGACTAATGTGAGTCATTTTACAAGTATTCTCCTCCATCTTGATAATATCGATCCATTAATTTCATTACACGATATGTCAGAATCCTGCTAGTGAACTCCAACCGGTGTATCTGACAATGAACAATACAGGAGAAAAATCGCTAACCAGTTTTCGAACTATCATTTATGCAGAATTTCCTACTCTGATGAACTGTTGTATGTATTTGTTTTCTTTTCAAAGTGTTGCCATTAACCTGCACGTTTTCGTCATCGCAACATGTATTTAGTCAGAGTTCATCGTTTACCTCTTGGTAATTTGAATTAAGTAACTTTTCTCAACAATGGCTGAAGCGTGACATCTGTGTTGTCTCTACGCATACCATGTAAAAAAATACGGAACGCAAGAATGCAGTACGTAAGCATTGAGAAAATGTCGTGCCCCATACACTGACAAGAAATATTGCTTATTACAACTTACCTAGAGGTAAGCGATCAACTATGATCAAATACATGTTGCGATGACGAAAATATGCGGGTTGAAGGCAA